TTCTCCTCTTTTTCTTTTTTCTCACCCCTCTCTTTTATTCTCTCTCTCTCTCTCTCTCTCTCTCTCTCTCTCTCTCTCTCTCTTGGTCTCGTTTAATTATGATGATTTGTGTGGTAACCCGTAAACATAAAATCAAATTGGTGGAGAATAATTCGTTAAATTTGTCAAAACATTTGTTTAAATGAGGGGGGAAGAATAAGAATGAAAAATTGGTAATTCACACAACCAAACCGAAGTAGAAAAAACATGCAATCTATCGCCATTCAACAAACAAACAGATTTTTCTTGTTTTTTTTGTCACACTATTAACCCTTTGTTTTCTATTGTATGTCTAATATTCAGAGGATATTTTTGTCAAAAATCAATTATGCAAATAAAAAAATGATAATTTTTGTGAACAAATCGACGACGAAAAAAAAAATTTCAAATTTTTACAACCCGAGTGACAAAAAATGTAAAAAAAATGTAAAATTCAACCAACTTAATTGATTGATTAATTGATTGCTACTATGTAACTAATTTTACCTTGGCTACTACCTGCAGGATTTTCTTATTCGTCTCTCTCTTTCTCTCTCTCTCTCTCTTTCTCGCTCTGACTATCCAGGTAATTTTTTTGTTTTTTTCTGATTCTGGAACACACGAATCAACCAACCCAGTAAACACCAAATGTAAATTGTATCAGGATAATTGTTATTTTATGCAAAAAATAAACAAACGTCAAAAATATTTTTTCTGGATAATCTGTTACTAATTCTATGGTTGGATATAAATTATCCGCAGAAAAAAACAATTAGAATTATAAATTGAATTAGACGTTATATGTTAGGTTGTCAAATAGTTTGTCGTTTGTCGTTTCTCTCTCTCGGGTTGTGGTAAATATATTGGTTGAATGAATGGATGGATGGATGGTGTATATGGATTTGATGTTACCTTTACAAAAAAAAACTACTTTATAACTTTACTCTTGAATGATTTTTCATTCATTGATGATGATGACAAATTGTCGTTTAATTTCAAAAAAAAAAAAAATCTTTCCCTAACTGATCAGATCTTAATTTGGAAACAAAATATGATAATGTTGTTGTTGTTGATGTATTTGCAAAAACAAAAACTACAGATATTATTATTATTATTATTATTTTAAAAAACAAGGTGTTCTAGTTTCTTTAATAATTTTTCTATTTGATTATGATAATTATTGTTGTTTAATAGTTAAGCTAGCAAAATTAATAAATCATTATTCATCATCATTGAGAAGAGAGAGAGAGAGAGAGAGAGAGAGAGAGAGAGAGAGCAAGCGAACAATAATTTTTTTTACCTTTTCTAATTGATGATATCGATGATGTCATTGATGATGATGGTGATTGAATTTGATCATCATCATCATCACCATTTTTTGATTTTGTTATCGTTATCGTTGATGATGGCAATGTTGATTTTTTTGAAATTATCTTATTCGAATTTAAATGTTGAGGTAAACCACCCCCATCATGGCCGCAACTACCACCATCATCATAACCACGATGTTGATCACCACCGTTACCATCATCNTAAAAAATTATATCAATAGAAGAGAGAGAGAGAGAGAGAGAGAGAGAGAGAGAGAGAGAGAGAGAGAGCATGCAAACAATTGCCGTTAATTGAATTTGACAAAAAAAAAAATCAATCAATCGATAATTAATTAATTAATGATTTACCTTTTCTAATTGATGATGTCGATGATGATGGTGATTCAATATGATGATGATCATCATCATTATTTGATTTGGTTATCGTCGATGATGGTGATTTTTTCAAAATTATCTTATTCGAATTTAAATGTTGAGGTAAACCACCATCATGGCCGCAACTACCACCATCATAACCACCATGTTGATCACCACCGATACCATCATCAATATCATTACAGTTATCACCTGGTATTCTATTTTGTTTATCGAATGATTTGGAAATTATTCCATTTCCATTATCATCAATGAATGGCCTTAATAATGATTTTTGTTGTTGTTGTTGTTGTTGTTGTGGATATGGCCACGATATTTGACCATGATTATGAAGATTACGATTATGTCGATAATGACCACCACCACCATGACCATTGTTGTCATTATTTTTTACATTTCTGCTAATGTTACCTATTAGAGAATAAATGGAAGAAAAATTTGGAAAATTAGAAAAAAAAAATTCAAGAATGGAAATTTTCTTTTCATTTTTTTTGAAATTCACGATTTTTTTTTTAACTTTTAACTTTTGATTTTTGATTTTTAACTTTTGATTTTTCTTTGAATTTTTCAGTGGTGCTGGTGATTAATTATTATTAATTTTTTTTTCTTGGTTTTGGTTTTTGTTTCAAATAGATAATTACGGTGGTCAAACGTTTTTTTGTTTTTGTTTTGTTTTTTAATTTTTTGATAAATTTTTTTGCAAACAAAAACAAATCTCGTGTACGGCACGTATGCCCATCGGCTGTGTATCTCACCTGTGTGTGTATGTGTGTTTGAAGAATTGCTGCAAATACCTGAGGGTTTACCTGAACTAAAACTGAAACTAAAAAAAAAAAAAACAAAAACAGCAATAATTATCGGATGTAGGATGACGACTAAATATAAATCATATTAAAATGGTGGTCAATATTGGACCTTTGAACAGAAAAAAAAACAATAGTCAAACTGTAAATAAAAAATAAAAAAAACAAAAAAACTGAAATTGATTGACCCTAAACTCAAGGTGTGGCATCATCATCATCATCATCGATATTGAAATTTGAAACAAAAACAAAAAAAAAAAATTCTTTCAAAGAAAATTTTGGCTCAATCAGAAATTGTGTTTGGATCGAACCAAAGAAACAAAAAACATTAATTACTTGTTGTTGTTGTTGTTAAACGAATTAATAGTTAATAGTTACTTAGGCCCCTTTTGTTGTTGTTGCTGTTGTTTTTTGGTTAGTAATCTAATCGAATTACTAACCTATAATTAAAACAAAAAAAAACAAAAAAAATTCAACTAAAACATTTTTAAAAAAAACTTGCTAATAGGAATATTATATTCAGGTTGTTTATTTTGGTTATCAATTTTTTTTTATCTTTTGAAGAAATTTGAGTGAATTTGCTGAAAAACGAAACGAAAATATATGCAAAATAATTTGTGCAGGTAAAATTGGCTGGATGTTTCGGAAACTTTTCCGGGAAAAAAAAATGTTTTCGGAAAAAATTGATTACCTTGATTATGGAATTGATGATTTGTTGCTGTTGTTGGCATTGTTGATAATTTTGAACGTGGTTCACGTGGACCATCAACAGTTACTTTAATTGCTTTATGATATAATGCAACTAACATTGGTTTTGTTTGTAC